AATGTCAGAATAAAACTAGAAACTCTCTTCTATAAATAGAGATCATTCTCTCACAATATTTCTGAATGTCGTTTGTACTAAATCATTCACTAGTACTCACTAAAGGAGAGCTTGAACCTATGTACTTGTATAAACCCTTCACAATTAATGAGAACTCCTCTACTCCGTGGACGTAGCCAATATGGGTGAATCACGTACATCTTGTGTTTGCTTCCTTGTCTCTATCCATTTACATACTTATCCACACTAATGACCGGAGCAATCTAGCGAAGGTCACAAACTTAACATTTTCTGTTGTACCAAAGTCCTCACCGATTTTGTGCATCAAGATTTGGCGCCGTCTGTGGGAATCGATACGAAAAGTTGTGTCGGTTCTCTCTCAATTTTTCACCTTCGCCATGAATCTGCAAAACCCAAGAGACAACCAAAACTCTCTCTGCTTCTCTCTTGCTTCTGATCTCTTTCAACTGTCTCTCTCTCTATGACAACTGACTCCTGAGGCCACCCCCATATAAACATCTCTCTCTCTAAGTTGTCTTCCAATCAAATCACGAGCAGAGCAAAATTCATTTAGATCCATCAACATCATTTTCTGTCTTTACAGTACTCTCCCTCTCTATTTTTCCGTCTTTGTACATATATGAAGGACAATTGATCTCTGTTTGGCTGCTGAAAACTGAGGAAAAGAAGTAGTGATGTCAATGTCTGAAGAAGCAGAGATCTCTGTTTGGCTGTTGAAAACTGAAGAAAAAACACTGCTCGCGGCGAGGCTGAGGTTGGAGCAAGATGGACGGCTCTGTGTGATTCTATCACTTGATTCATTTAATCTCTTAATAGACATTGCCATTCTTTCTCTTTGATCAGAAGAAACCGCATGCGTATCAGCCATTCCTGCCTCCAGCAGTTCATCGCGAGCAGCCTGAGTGGCATTGCGATGCAACTCTCTTGATTTCCCTTTTCAACTTATTGAGATCAGATTTATATTCCCTTAGCTTGGCAAGAAGCACCGCCTTCACACTTGGCTGCAAGCTTTTGGATTCGAGGTCCATTTTCCGAATCAAAGCTTGTGTTATGGTTTTTTAGAGAGCAATGGTTGTAGGCGAGCCGGCGCGGCAAATCCCCTTTCTCTCCTCCTTTTTCCCTCGACACTCTCACTCCATCACTCTCCTCTCCCTATGTACTCTTCCTCTCTCTGTCTCTCTCTTCATCGATTAAAGCTCTGCGTTGCCCTGACCGATTTCTCTTTTTTTTGTCGATTTCCATCATCACCCCCAACATCCAGAAAGTTCGAATCGATTCAACCTTCTCTCGATCCTCCATCGCCATTTTCAAGAAAGAGATAGAGAACTGCAAAATTGTTATAATGGCGGAAGATAAAGCCGTAGGAGGAGAAGGCGACAAGAAGGACGCTGCGGTGGCGGCAGCGCCTGCGGTTGCGAAGAAAAAACGCCAGGGAATTTTCACCAGAATGTTCAGTGGGGTCTTCTGATTACACCGCGACGATTTTGAGAAACGGCTTCAGTACATTTCGAAATAGGAAGCCACTGTCCTTGCTAGAATGCAGAGGCGGACCATTATTTGGAGGCGCATGACCAAACATTTCATTCTCTTCTCCGTTTTCTTTTAGAGATCAGGCGCCCGCAACGGAGGAGGATCATGCTATAACCATCAGATCCAACCACCTAGGAAAGAGGAGTAGTCATGTAGTCTCCAATCATCATGAAGCATCGGCTCCTGATCAGTACACATTATCATACAGCAAAGTAAAAGAGGTGCAGAGACAGAGAGAAATGTGCAGTGAACAGAGAGAAAGCAAAAGCAAAAAGAGAAAAAGAAGTGACAACATAACGTGGAAAGCATAAAAGCAACTTCGCGACACTTTCACGTTGCCAGGCCTTTGTCTGCCATCTGCAAAAGGAAAAAGAAAAAGAAGAAACAGAAACAAAAGCAAAAGCAAAAGCAGAAAAAAAGGGGTGTGCTATCCACACACCCCAAATTACTTCTCACACACCCCTTGTTAATTTCTATCTGTTGATCTTCTACAATTCATCCGATCCGACGGTCGAAAATTAGAAAGGTGTGTGAGAAGTAAAATGGGGTGTGTGGATATCACACCCAAAAAAAAAAGGAAATGGCATTATTCCCTTATCTGTCATATGCCAAAATAAAGAAAAAAAAAAGAGAAAGCAAAAAGGCGGCACATGGGGACACTGCAAAAGCAAGGAATAAACACCCCACCAGAATGATGTAATTTATTTTTCTTATCTTTCGGAGACATCTGTATAACCCCATCAGATGGTAATCAAAAAGCAAAAAAAAAAAAAAAAAAAAAAAACGACAAAGCCCAAAATAAATGGGCTGGAATGTTGTGTGGAGGTCGAAGGCCCATAAGCCTAAAATAGCACCAACCAGGTGACCAAAAGTATGTCCAGTACTACAAAAAATTATTCGGCACCCTGCCACTATTATCGCCAACCAGGTGATCAAAAGTACGCCTAATACTCTAAAAATTATTTGGCAGCCTGTCGCTATTATCACCAACCAGGTGATCAAAAGTACATCCAGTACTCCAAAATTATACATGAGCATTACTCATGTCAATCATACATAAACCTTCATGAGCATCACTCATGTCAATCATACAAAAACATTCATGAACATCATTCATGTCAATATTCATGAGCATCACTCATGTCAACATCCATGACCATCACTCATGTCAATCAACATAAACATTCATGTGCATCACTCATGTCAATTAGCTTCAAAAGCTTCATTTACAGAGTTCTAGCTTCAAAAGCTTTATTTACATAGCTCTAACTTCAAAAGCTTCATTTACAAAAGCTCCAACTTCGAAAGATTCATTTACAGAGCTCTAGCTTCAAAGCTTCACTTGCAAAGCTTCAAAGCTTCACTTGCAAAGCTTCACTTGCAAAGCTTCACCTACAAATCTTCATTGCAGGGTATACAAATACTGCATCCGAACAACCACCACTTCGGCCCATACATGAATTCAATTTGAAGTCTCCAGCCAACAGACTCTATTGACCGAAAACTTGGGGGACTACACTATGTACCATATATTGGGCCTCATAAAAAAAATACTTGAGAGGCTTAGCCCATTATTTATGTATTGAGGAGTGAACCCTTATTTTATAAAAGGGACTCCCTCATTTTCATTAGAGAGCACCCATTATTCATGTACCGAGGAGTGAGCCCTTATTTTATAAAGGGGACTCCATCACCATCATTAGAGAGCATCGCCGCCTACTGAGCAACCGCCTCACCGCGAGCATCAACTCTAGCCCATCATTTATGTATTGAGGAGTGAGCCCTTATTCTATAAAAGGGACTCCCTCACCTTCAAACGCCACAAGCCGAGCCAACCAAGGCAACATAAGCCACAAGCCGAGAAGCCTCACAACATGTGCTACTTCTAGTTGAGCATCATTTCAGATAGAGCACCGCCTCATATCGAGTATTCAGTTCAAGACGACATCTAGTTACTTCGGCCCACACATGGATTGAATTTCAAGTCTCCAACCAAAAGACTCTCTTGACTGAAGACTTGGGGGACTACTGTTTGTACCATACTTAAGGCCTCCGTATTTAGATCTCGTATAAATACTCAGGAGACTCAAATGTAATTATGTAATAAAGGAAGAGGCAAATATGTAATAAGTGAGGAGCCCTTATTCTATAAAAGGACCTTTCACTCTCCTCATTAAGGGAGGCCAATTCTTAGGCCATATCCTAAACCTCTCAGAACTCTCATCCTCACAGAGAAGCTCTCTCTCTCTCCCTCTTCAACATCTCAGAGAAATACAATCAGTGTAAACGCAGCCCAAACATTAGGGGTGAACCACGATACATCTTGTGTTATTTACGTTCTTGCAGATTCACGGTCGGATTTACGTTGTTCCAAGACCTCCAGTTTTGTGCATCAACAGTACTATCTGTCAGTGCTAATGTTATATGGGTTCATTACTTAAGCCTCAACATCTAAGGCATCACAACCCTCTTAGTCATCTTAGCCATGCACTCAGGAAACTCCACAACCTTCATCTCAGCCAACTTAAGCCTCTTAAACCACTTCAAAGTCTACTGCAAAAGGTCAGAAAAGGAGGAGGAATGTTTCATGATGATGCTTTAATGCTTTACGTTGTTTAAGGGTTCATTTTGTTATAGTTGAATATGCCCTTAGTTTTTTTGGAAACAACTTTTCGATAGATCTTTAGTGTTTTGGACAGAGTTCAATTAGTTGTTAAAGTTGACCCATTAGTGTTTTGGACATTTTTTTGGACAGATCTTTAGTGTTTTTGGAAGACACCTTGACCCATTAGTTGTAAAAGTTGCGGTGGTCTTTTGACACTTTTGTGTGAATTGGAGGGTGTATATTGAACTTTGTTGTGAATTGAAAGTTATTGATAATTCAACTTTGTTGGTAGTTTAAATGATGAATTTGCATATTTAGAATTGAATTTGCATATTTGGAATAGAAAGTTGTGGTTTTTTTCCTATTTAATTTGATTTCTTTTTTTTTCAAAAAGGGAAAAAAAAATTTGAATTTTTTTTTTCATTGAAACCTCTTCTGTTAAAAAAAAAACCATGTGGACCCACGTGGCGCCTAGTCATTGTCCACATAGGCGCCACGTCACAGTTAACGGGAGACTTAACAGTTTGATTAACTGATATACGAGACCGTCCCAAAATTTACATTTTAGGTATGACTTTGAGACGAAAAAAACTTGATGTACTAAATGTTGAAAACCACGAAACATGAAGGTAGTAAACGGTCTTTTACCCAAAAATTATTTTATCCGTTCATTACTTTAGTCTAAAGAAAGCATTGCAATTGGCACTGTTCTTTACTGTTCATTGTTTTTGGACCCCAATTTCACTCTATTTACGGACTTGCCATTCATCTTAGCATTTCGCCTGGGCTTTATTTTTTCAGGTTTAGTTGGATAGGCTTTTGGGGGTTTGGGCTGTGACTTGGTTGATGCCTTTCGTTTGTGGTTGGATTTTTCGGATGGATGGCCGACACGGGCAGGCCTAGCCTGCAACAAAGCCAGTGAGAAGGGAGGGGGAGGTGTCGTGTGATGCGAGAGAGAAGAGAGACAGGAGGTGTCATCCGATGGCAGAGAGAAGAGGAGGGGTCGCGCAATGCCAGAGAGAAGAGAAGAGATAGGATGACTCCTGGAAGGAAAAATTGGAGGAGAAAGGGAGGGGTAGGATGAGCAAAGCAATAGGTAGGCCTGCCCGGAATTTGGGTTTTGTTTTTCTCGGTGAGGTCTGCTTAGAGAAGCGGTGAGGCATGAAGGGATGCCTAAACCTAGGGTTGGTTTCAGAGATTTGGTTCCAGCTGGAAGCTATCTCTGCAAGCATTGATGAGGATCTCTCCCAGCTGGCAGCTTGAATTCCTTTCAAAGCTAAGTGTCCCCTTTGAACCGAATTTTCCCTTATTTCACTGTTTCTGGTTTGAACCTGCTTAGAAACCTTTTTTTTTTCCTGCTTTGTTTTCTGTCTGGTTCTGGTTCTGGTTCGGTTATTCAACTTTTAGTTAGGAGTGAAAGATTTTTTTTTAACTTATTAAATTGGAATAGAAAAACAGATATTTTGTGCTGCCTTCTTCACTGTCTGATAATACCAGTTCCTCTTAATTTCTCTTTTTCTTCCTATTGTGTTGGTCTTTCAGTGTCATAGATTCTCTGCAGAAATCAAACTGTATGCATTTTGCCCCTTTTTTTTCATTACCCTATTATTTGTTGTTGTTCTCACCCTGTGAATCAACTGCTCAGTTTTTTTATCCTTCTAAAATACGTTATGCATCTGGTTTTTGTTCATTCACATATGATGCACTGTTAATCATTTCCTAACAAATCTGTTGCTATATGTTATTTTCTGTTTGGTTTGATTCACAGGGATAGCTTTTTTATGGTTGTTGTTGTTAGAAATAGGTTTATTTTTTTATGCCTCTGAACAAACCCTGTGAATCAAATGCTCAGTTTTTTTTATGCCTTTTGTCGTTGTCAGCTCATCCACAATCATGGTATTTTCTCGGACCAATTTTCTCTTATCCTCTGTTTGGTTCCTGTAAATTGAGCTGGTTTCGACAATTTCCAGGCCTAAGTTCTGCTGGGAAAATTTCGTTGATTACTTAATTACTTTTATTGTTCCAATATATTTGGATGCTGTATACTAACATTTACAACTCAACTGAATCAATGAACTACCATTTTAGGTTCTTTTTCTTAATATTTCTCTAAAAAAAGTTCTTACTTTTGAAGGGATCCTGCAATTATGTTATAAGCCACATTCATGATAGACTAGGCATTGGGCATATATAATAAGTAGTAACCATAATAAATGATTTACTTTGGTGAATATTTGTTTGATAATCCCGCTGTGCAGATTGAAAAATATGAGTTTCTTCATTCTGATTATGCAAAGTCAACATCTCAGATAACATATTGATCTTCAAAACCAGAGTTTAGGGTTGTCTGTCGTTCCATGTATATAATTTTACCCCTTTTATTACTTTTTAAATATTTCAATCCTCTTTCAGAATACTAATCCCTAAACTTATTAAATTTATTGACCAGGTCATTTTTCATTCAATCCCGAAGTTCGTATTTCTCGGATTGGTGTTGTGTACAGATTACTGGTGGTCAGCTTGCTAAAGCATTGTATTTAGGTGAAGGTATTTGACATTTTTCTATGTAGTATTCTGAAATGCATTCCTTAAACCCCATTTGTTTGATTTGGAAGATTATTCATAAATCATCTTTTAATATATTTTCAGCTATTGTATTTGGGGTTGTCCATATGCATCCTAATTCTTTGTCATATCCTATCATTGGTTAAATTTTCGTTTTAAGTCGTATGTTTTCATGTGTTTCGTAATTACCGCTATCTAAGTTGTTTTGTCTTCCTCTTCCCGTAACACTACTTTCTATGTATTCTATGTATATACACACATATGAGTTTGCTTCTTCAAGCCTATTAGCTTTGAAAATAAGCACCACCTTTTCATGTGGAGCGTCTCATCACCTGGGACTTGCAGTCGCTAACCAATTGGAAATGCACAACAGCAATGAGCCTTTGTCTTGGTTCTTTGTGGATTTTGGTAGAATGTTGGAAAACCAGAGAAGTTAGAGAGAGAGAGAGAGAGAGAGAGAGAGAGAGAGGAGCCAATGAGCCTTTGTCTTGATTCTTAGTGGATTTTGGTAGAATGTGAGCATATGAAGCGGAGAGAGAGAGAGGGGGAGGGTAATTCTTACTCAATGTAGACATGGCCGGGTGTAAAGTGGAATTACCAAAATGCCCTTGGGGCCATAGTTTCCTAAAATAACCATGCAACCAACATGAGGTGTTGGTACTACTGTGAACATGATTGCTTGGTACTATGGGAATAAATTCTCCACTCTCTATATTCCACTCAATTGTTTGGACTTGGAAGAAGTGATGATGCCTACTTTATTTGTGAAATACTCTTTATGTTATCATGGCAACTGATGATCTACATGAGTTGGTTCTTTTAAGTTCATGTGATAGCAATGGAAAAATATAATAGTTCATGTGATAGCAATTATGTAATTAATTGACTCTGCAATTTTTTTTTAATTTTTCATTTGAATTTTGTTTCAGCAATTTCAGCTCAATTTCTATGTTTTATGAATTTTAATTTTAATTAATGCTTTTGTGGAAAGAAATTTGAATTTGTTTATGTTGTTTAATAGAAAGATAGGTGCTTGGATGGGAGTGGACGCAGGAGCAGGGAGTGTTGTGAGGAAGGGTAAGTAGTTGCATCATCTGCTGTGTTACAGTAGTGAAGTGATGAGACGTCGGTATGGCATCTGCTAGCCTAGGGAATGCTGGAGTTGGCAGTTCAAGGTCTGTTAGACAATAGATATGGCATAAGTGATAAGCCATTTTCCCTCTCTGCAAGTGTTAACCTCACAATCAAAGGGGTTCACCAGCGTGGGTTCCGTCGGATTCCATAGACAAGGATGTGGTGACCCGGTATGATTTTGGGGATTTTGTTTATAGCTTTGGATTCCCCATCATGGTGTTTAATTTTGTTTTATTTTTGGCTTTAGGAAATCATGCTTCTTCGGATTTGAGAAATAAGTTTTGGAATTGCTTTTTAGGTACGGATTTTATGGGAGGCGTCTAGAAAGTTCCAACTTTTATCTTCATGTTTAAGAGTCAGAAAGCACGGGATGCTAAGGATCGACTTGAAACAGTTGCCTCGCAGGCTCAAAAGGTCACATATACTATATGCTGAAACGTTTCCTGCAATCTTTGGTCTATGAGACTATGAGTATGGTGTCATTTTGCAATTGGCTTCTTTGTCTTTGATTGCAGATGAACGACATTGTTACTGAACAATGGATTCAAATTCAGCGACTTGAGCAGGCTTTTCATAGTACTCAAGTAAGCATTTGTACTTGAGACTGGCTTCTCATTCTGTGTGCAAGTTTTATCGAAATGAGCTTTATTAATTGGTTTAACTCGGTTAGGACTATGAGGTTTCAAAGGCAAGTGAGCTCTAGAAGATGCACATTCTTGAAGGTAATAGTTTAGAAAAGTCTGTATGTGTGAGTCGGTGAGGCTTCATTTAACCAATTAGAAACCACTTTCCTGTATAATTAGAGTTATAGAATGCAGTGAAATATATATATATTTTTTTCAGTCTAATTAGTCTTTTTGAACTTTTATTCTGTTTGTGCAACATCCTTAGGCCGTTGTGAAGTGTATAATTAGAGTAAATAGAATGCAATGAAATATAATGTTTTTTTCACTCTCTTTAGATTTTTTTTCTTTTACTTTATTCTCTTTGTGCAAGATCCTAGGCCGTTGTGAAGTCGTCGTTCTCAACCAATTTTCTATGGATATATCTAAGATTAAGTTCGATGTATATAAGCATTGAAGTGGTGACCTTTTATTCACAGATTGTGTGCACTCTGGCCTGATTTATCTAAAGAATTATCCGATTGGGGTATGGTTTTTAACACACCCACACCCCACCCAAAAAAAAAAATAAAATGGTGAGGTGGTGTTGCTGTCATTTTTACCATTGTCAATCATTATAATTTTAGCTAATAAGACAATATTATGTTCATTCTTCTATATTCGAGTTCAAATCATTCTATTTTCAGTTTTGTAAGAGATTATCTTTTACCAATTGTCAAGGTGCTTCCAACCATAAATTGATATATTACTTACCTTTATTTTTTCTCTTAATTTATCAGGAATTTATTTGCATATCTGTAGTGTAGACAATTTTAACCCATGAGTATTTAACTTTAATTGGAATTGATCTTTGTATGAAATTATCTTGCTCACTGTTTGGATTCCGAGAAAATTTAGGGGATGTCCAGTAATATTCACATCCTGAAAACTCAGTGAATGACGAATTTGGAATTGAGAATTGGGGTGGGGAGAGTAAAAAAAAAGAATGTGGTGGGTGTCTGTTTCGGGGTAGACAGACAGGCGGTGGAGGAGCTAGGGTTAGAAAAAGGGAAGAAAGAGATAGAAAGAGAGTTGGAGAATTTAGGGTAATACGATGAGGAGTGAGAAAGAAGAGAGAGAAAGGAGGGTGGTGGAGAGAGAGGTAAAGGAGAAGAGAGGAGAGAAGAGAACTGGCTTGGCTGCCTAATAATCTTCGTGTTTACCATTTTGCTAATTCCATGACCCAAAAGCCCAAGTTTTTTTTTCCCCCGAAATTCCCCGCTGCCTGTGCCCTTTTTATTAAATTATCTCTTAGATTACTGGCATAAAAGAGTTATAATATTAGTTAGTTGTCAGTTGCAGTTTGGCCCATTTTTCTTCAGCGTGTTTGCCCTTTTTATTCAAATATAATTATCTGATTACATGTACTCCTGACATGTTTTAGTAATATCCTACAGGATGATGCCCATATCTTTTGCAGGAAGTCCCAAGTGAGTTGAGCTTAATTAAATTGTACCTACTGTTTACAACTTTACATTTTTTTTTTGTTTCGTTCTTAAGACTTTTAGTTTTTTGTGCTTCTGTTGTCAGGTGAAAGATGAAGTAAAGGGTGTCTTACATTTCATCCAGTATACTTATAATATTTTTGGCTTTGGCTTCTCTTTCGACCTGAAGCTATCAACAGTAAGATTCTTATTACCTGTGCTTAAAGCTTCAGACCTCTTGCCTTCATCTTAACTTGCAAAAGTCATATGATGGTTTTATAATATATTAGATGATACATAATACTGTTATGATTATTTGGTATATTCTAATATAGCAGTAAGTATACCGTGCTGAATTTCTAATAAAACAAAGCTAATCTTAATCTTATTTGGTGTATAGATAGCAGGGATAACTAAGTATTGTCATTGGGGAGACTAATGGTGCACTATCTTTCGATGGGTTTGTTTTTTTATACTAATTGCCTGCTTATCATCGTGGACATAGGCGTTTAATCTTAGGACTTTCCGCATATCGTAGCCGACATTATTTTTCCATTCTAACATTAACTAACGTTACCACCATGTATCTATTATGAAAAGATCAAATCAACATGCTAAGTGGATCAGCCATTTCCATTGAATAATATTTAAATACTTGCAACGTTTGTTTTATATTGGGTTTGGTTTCAGCAGACGGTGGTTTTTCTTATTTTGAGGCTTTTGTTTCCAGGCTGCCCTGTGTACTCAAGGTGAGCAATTTCAATTTATAGGGTTATTGAATTGAGATTTTTAGTTTTTCATTATATTGGAGTTGAGTTTGGTATTTTGTTTAGGTTTTATTATATTAATTATCATAAGCTTCTTTGAGATTACAAGATTTTCTTGGACACATTACTGCAATACAGGAGTTAGAACAAAAAGTGGCTGATTAGAAGGCTTGAAAACAAGTGTGAAATTGCATTCAAAATATTAGCATGTTAACAAATCATCTTCAAAAGTTGTAAATACAATATTTCTTACTAATTTTTTTTGTTTATATATTCTATGTGTTTATACAGAATTAAAAAATGGTTATAATTGGAATATTACGCTTAATCTTCTTTTGGTATGTGTTTGATTTTCTTTTGTTGGCTGTGTTTTGTGGCTCATCAGAAACAGTTAGCAAGTGAAACCTATAACCAAAGGCTTATTTATTTTTTCCAAATGGTTTTAATCTATTGTAGGTAAACAGGAGCTACTATGCTGTTTATGCAGTAAGGTTCACCATCAGCTATAGATACGAGCAGCATGGCAAAGTTAAAGTATGCGTAAATGGCAAGAGTTTTTGCCTCAACTGGAAATTGTAGCGTGTGTAACTATACTGGGACATGTAATGAGCAGAAATGTTTAAGTAGCTGTGGGGAGGTAATAAACATGTTTACTTTTGGCCTATGCTTACTCTCGGGTAATTGGACAACTACGGTAACTTGATTCTGAGCAGGCACGGAAATGTCCCCGAAGACAACGTTTGTGCACAATCTAAGGACGACGTTTTCTCGGAGTCACTCACTGACACCATTAACATGCCTCAAGGATTCACACACATCAAAGTATATGGTGAGAGCTTAATTGGATACGAATATCTTTTGCGTCAGATGTTAGGAGCCGTCTTTTAAGGCAGTTACATGAGAAGATGGATAGAACACATTTCTTAAATATGAGGACTTCATTTGAGCGAGGCGACGAATGACAAATCGAGAAACGAGTCAGTGACATATACCTGTGAGATTAGAAGGGTATAACGAAAAGATTGTCATTGAGAGAGATGGATCATGTGGTTTTTATAGACTGACACAATTGGCTTCCAATCTGAATGCATTGGCCCAGCGTAGAGAGTTCGCACATTGGCATGTCATGCAGCTAGATTGCCATGGATGGGCAGACCGATCTATATGTTTTATTAACCCCACGGCATACGATGACAGAGGACATATTCAGCACTCAGAAGTGTATATGGACGCAAGTGGAGGAAAGGTCTAGAGAAGGAAGAATAAGGAAGGTGCAGAATACAAGAGAAAATAGTTAAAAGAACATTTAGCCATTTGAAAAGTTGGTAGAGGGAGGGAATACATCATACTAGGTATGAAAGTTGGTTTTCATGGTTCCATAAAGACTGAGCTTCTTTCCATGTTTTGGCGCTTTCCGTCCAATCGCTACCCCACTCAAAGCAGAAGATTACTAGTCATCAATCCCTTCATGAAAATAGTAAAATCTTGGATAGTGTTCAGTCGCATCTTCCTCGAGTTTGATCGCCTAAAAATGAAGCCTTCATATGAATACCACACCTAGGGTGTAAATAATTAATTGACCATACCATACAGATATTACACTACAACGGCTTTTCTGTTATCATGATTTTAAGAAATTGAAATTGGAGATTGTATTTTTATCTTCCATCTAATTTCTTTTTCCGCCGCTTAATCTTAGTTCAAAGGTTATATTTAGGCACATCTCTTCTCAAGATAAAAGGTTATTATAAATATATAAAATAAAATATAACATATTAAACGTTAGGTATCCAAAGAGTTATGTGAGTGGATTGTTGATGTCTGGAGAGTAGCGAATGAGGCCTGATGAAATATAAGCCAGATCCGCTCTGTATTGTAATCAGCCTTAGGACGCAGGATTGTGACAAAAGCTGAGCGTTCTCTCCAGTATACAAAAATTATTCGGGGGAGTGGCAATCTTGATTTTAGTACTCGTATCAGCCAAGTGATTTAAAAGTACGTCCAGTACTGACCACCGGAAAACCCCAATAATTAGTTATCGGGGCTGTATTAGGAGGATGTGACGAACAAATCGTACAGTACCCAGGGTGGCGAGAGATTTACTCCTCCACTTGGGTGCTAATCTAAACAGAGGAGTCACACAATATACACGATACATTGTATATGATTAAGGAGTTGTCCTGGTCTCGTGAGAACGAGAGTGTCACACATAGATCTATTCGTGCATTTGTTAATGCTAGCTGCCAGTTGATCGCAGAGAGTAGTCTCTTGTTTTTTTTTGGTGTGCAAGTCTTATTCTCGTCACTGTGACACTCTCATCAGTAGACCGCGTATACACGATAGTGTGGTAAGAGGCTATAGCTTAAACACATGAGTCTTTCCATCTACTTAGTTTAGTTCGGGAATGAGTAAACACTCTATAG